CGTACTTCAGACTGGAGCAGCTCCACTGTGTGACTTGCTCTCCCTGACCCCTGCTCTGCAGAGGTGAGGTACAGGGGCAGGGGGACACCCTGACTTCAGCACTCTCCTCTTCCCTTCCTGCCACACAGCTACCTAGAGGAAGATCCTGGAAGCAGTTCAGCTGCAGGATAGAACAGGGAGGGAGAGGAAGGACAGCTGAACACATACTACCTGTACACTCTGCTAATCAGGAGAGCAGGCCAGGTAGAAATGCTAGGCAGGCCGAACTTTGCCCATCCCTTGTCTACACCACAGCTAATATATTTCCTGCATTATATTTTGTTCCTGAGAAATATAATAAAACCCCAGTATATCATTGGATAGCAGTGTTCAAGGTGTGTAACTTGAAATGGGATCAGAAGGGAAGAGGTGAAGACCTTAACCTGAATTTGGATTATATTTGTACCGATGTAAATCAGGAGTAACTCTATTAAAGCAAATGAACTTACGCCAATGGTTCAAACACAGAATTGGGCACTTCATAAAAGGAATTTCCTATCTTTCCCCCCTCAAATCCCTAAAACTCCAGCCAGTTTATTGTAGTTCCTAAGGGGAAGAAAGTAGTTTTTTATAAGAATTTTTATGAGCCTTCTTGAAGTAATTTCTGGAAGGGCTGATTAGTGTGCTCAAAGAGGGGGATTGAATTCTCTCACCAGCAGGAAAGTCAACCAATCTTTTCTTTAGTTTGAAAGCAGAATTTTAAAGATGATTTTTCATAAGCACATCATGCTCCCTTTCATGGTGACTAAATTCAGCAGGGTTCAACTTCAACCCTTTTAGGAGGTGATTTTTGCTACTGTTTCTAGGCATTTGAAAGTGCCTCCGGAGACTGCTTTTCCATTGATTATATATTGTCTTTTTTGTCCAATGAGTTATATATTCTAGCAACTGCTCTCACATAATTAGAGCCGGGTGTGACCCCCGAGGACAGGCCTGGGCCAGTCACCCTGGAGCGGGTCGGCGAGTGGACAGAGGGAAGCCAATTCATGTGGGGCCTCGCCACGGTCGGCCCGAGTCAAGGGGAGCACCCATGTCCCCAGGGCGGGTTCCCACGCAGAGGACCCAAACTTCCCTAGGTCACGAGCGGAGTGACCCTGCTCAGTTCGCTCTCGGAGGGGGGAGAACTGTGACGTAGTGGGGGTACTTGCTGGGCTGTGGTGACCCCTGCTGTCTGGAGCAAGACCCAGCAGGGAAAACCTCGCTAGGCAGAGGTAAGGCCAAACTTGTTGAGCCAGGGGCCAGACACCCCCCATGGAGAGGAACAAAGGAAGGTGGAATGCTGCCCTGACTGGGGGGGCAGGGCTGCAAGGGAATTTAGTTAGTTGGTTGGTGGCTGTCTGGGAGGACGGATGAGACAGCCTAGGGAGAGGAGCTGGAGTTTTAGGGGCCCAGTCTCCCCCATCTCAAGGGGGCCTGAGGCATCCTAGCCCAGTTCCTGTAACCAGACTACATCTGTGCTGCGCTGTGCTGGAGGAGCAATAAACCCCCCTCAATTCCACTGGCTGGTCCAGTCTGTTTGTGCCATTTGGGGGTGCAGGAGACGGGGAACCCCCAACGCGCCGTCACACTGTTGTATCCACACAGGGCTCTTCATCTGCATTGTTGAAAGACTAGCTAACTTTGTATTTCTATTTTTTTATTTGCAAAACATAATAACCAGTGCGTTACATTGGCATAGCATCATTGAAGTCAACAGATCCATGTCAATTCACACCTGCTGAGTCTTTGGACTAATGCTCACCTGCTAACTGAGGTGTGTAATTGCTGGGCCATGGAGTGATGAGAACGTGCATGCCATGCCCCTTGTGAGTTTGAGGGATCTAAAGCTGCTACTACTTTCCTCTCCTCTTTCCTCACAGGGAGAGAAAGAATTAACTCTAACAGGGTGCAAGGCCACAGCCTGTTACAACCACTTCTACTGCCGTTGAATGACTGGGATCAGGGCAGGCTGACAGAGGCAGTGGGGATGAAGGCAAAATTATTTCTGCCAAATGCTGGCTTGTTGCTAGTTTGTCTTTGTTTCAGCTTAAGCAGATCATCACACATTCTGTATTAGAAATGTTTCTGAAAATATTTTAAAGTGTTACTGATATTCTCTTTTTGTATTCTGCTGCCTATATAATGCACAGTCAGAAAAACATATAAGTACTGCATTTACAGATACCTTTAGAATGACCTAAAATAGCTTTGTTGTGCATAAAAATGTTTTGACATTTAAGTCCCATATCTTAGGACTTTTTAGATGTGACTGCTGTAGGTTGGAATGGAAAAAGGAAATCTCCTCTTTCCATTGGACTAAAGCTCACACGTCTACTCCTGATAGCTTTTGTGATCAGTCCTTAAGCCCCATACTGCATGTTGCCCACCTGAGACAACAGGGTGGGTAATTTTGGAGGCATAATTCTGTGTTAGTGAAGAAAGTTTTTTGGTGGGTAGATTGCATGAAATAAATCAGTGACTGTTCAGAATAGCTAGAACTGAGTACCAGCATAAGTGCCACAAAGAGGCTAGAAGTAGCTGTTTGGTATAGGAAAGCTATTTCGTAGTCACCTTTACTCTCCTTCCCTATCAATGGTGGCGAGTATATGCCCCATGTAATTTATTTTTTTGAATGTGATTCCCACTGGAAAGAAAGGGCACAAAGGATCATGCCAAATATAAAAATAAAATTTTGTTATTCAGGTTGTTAAGGGAATTATTAAGGTCTGTTGATACATGTGTGTCCCAATAGATATTCATTCTCCTGAAAAAATAATTCTGCATTGAAAGTTCTTTGCTCTCATCATGCTAGCTACATAGAACAATAAAAAGCTATTTTATAAAGATTATATAGAGAGTGTGAGATTGACATGCTTTGTCACATTTGGTTTCTCCTTTCCAACAGTGGGATGGAGTAGGACCTCTCCCGGACTGTGCAGAACCACCAAAAGGAATCCAGATGCTGTGGCACCCTTCAATAGTCAAACCCTACCTCACACTTCTCTCTGAGTGCTCAAATCCAGACACATTGGAAGGAGCGGCAGGTGCACTGCAGAACTTGGCTGCAGGAAGCTGGAAGGTATGGACTACAACTCAGAACTTTTTAAACTCTAGTGGTATGTCTACACAATGGGATAAGGTCAAATTAAGATATGCAATTTCAGTTATGTTAATTGCATAGCTGAAGTTGAAGTAGCTTGACTCAACTTTTGGTGCTGTCCACACTGCAGGAAGCACATTCTCCCTTTGACTTCCTCTACTCCTCGTAGAAGCTGGGTTACCTACATCGATGGGAGCACCCTTCTCAGTTCAAATTAGCATATCTTCACTAGACCAATAATTTGAACTTTGAAAAATCGACAGTGGCAGCTTAGTTCTTCTCTGTAGTGTACACATACCCTAAGAAGCCCACATGGGTAAGAATAAAGGTGTTATAGATATAAGTGCAACTCTGAAGTGGGAAGAAATGCTGCATATTTTCAGAAAACTATCTGGAAAACAGAGTCAAATTTAAATTGCAGAATTTTTTGTTTGTTACATTTATTCCTATTTCCTAAGAAATTCCAGTACACAGCCTTTAAAATTAATTCATTAGACATTAATCTAATTCAATATGAAAAATTGTTACTGAGGGCCTAATATCAAAATGAATAAAAGTGGTAATACTGCAACTCTATGCTGCTAGTGCCATAGAAAATGAGTAAAACAATTTCACTGGTGACAATCATATTGCAATATCAAAGCAGAAACTGCAGTGTTTATGAGAAACTGAGTAGAATGTAGCAAGATACAAAGAAGTGACACATAGACAAGAAACCCTAGCATCCTTTTTTCCCCTTAAGAAATAAATAAAGTCACAAAACAATACTATAATATTATGGTTATGAGCAAAAAACAGGCAGGGAAATTCTGAATTCAGTCTAACATATTGTTTGTGCCTCCACCTTTCAGATATGTGTGATCAAAACATCCAGTTTTTGGTGTTATAACATCTAGTTATTTACAACAAATTGGTTTAATAATTTTATCACCAGATTTTGAAACTATATTTATATTTTAAATAAATGAGTAAGTGGTTGTGACAGTATCCTTTCCTGAATTTTTACCAAATCTGTGTCATGCTTTTTTTTTTGGGGGGGGGGGGGGGAGAGATATCTTGGTCTGATGGAATGAGAGTACTAATCATCTCAAACAGCTGTTAGTACAACCCTGCCCTTAGAGAAGTTGGGAAGCACTATATTCAAACAAGTGCTTTGAGGATATCCAGTTCTGTATTTAGGTGCTTAAATCACGCTAATCCACCAGACTTATAACATGCCATTGACCATCACACTCAGCTACGTAATGTAACAAAATGTCTGCACTTTGACTTGATTCTGAATGTGCTGCACATGCATTGCACCCATAGAGTGACAATAATGAGGTGAGCAGCCAGCGGATATATGAAATAAAATCTCCTCCTCCAATCTAAAACTGGTGAAGGGGCTCCTGCGTAGCCACAAATCTACCATACTAGTTGGGCGGGGTGTGGCACTGGATCTGACCAGTCATAGAATCATAGAATATTAGGACTGGAAGGGACCTCGAGAGGTCATCGAGTCCAGTTCCCTGCCCTCATGGCAGGACCAAATACTGTCTAGACCATCCTTGATAGACATTTATCTAACCTATTCTTAAATATCTCCACAGAAGGAGATTCCACAACCTCCCTGAGCAATGTATTCCAGTGTTTGACTACCCTGACAGTTAGGAACTTTTTCCTAATGTCCAACCTAAACCTCCCTTGCTGCAGTTTAAGCCCATTGCTTCTTGTCCTATCCCCAGAGGCCAAGATGAAGAAGTTTTCTCCCTCCTCCTTATGTCACCCTTTTAGATATCTGAAAATGGCTATCATGTCCCCCCCTCAATCTTCTCTTTTCTAAACTAAACAAACCCAATTCCTTCAGCCTTCCCTCATAGGCCATGTTCTCTAGATCTTTCATCATTCTTGTTGCTCTTCTCTGGACCCTCTCCAATTTTTCCACATCTTTCTTGAAATGCAGTGCCCAGAACTGAACATAATACTCAAATTGAGGCCTAATCAGCGCAGAGTAGAGCGTAAAAATGACTTCTCGTGTCTTGCTCACAACACACTTGTTAATGCATCCCAGAATCATGTTTGCTTTCTTTGGAACAGCATCACACTGCTGACTCATATTCAGTTTGTGGTCCACTATGATCCCTAGATCCCTTTCTGCAATACTCCTTCCCAGACAGTCGCTTCCCATTCTGAATGTATGAAACTGATTGTTCCTTCCTAAGTGGAGCACTTTTCATTTGTCTTTATTAAACTTCATCCTATTTACCTCAGACTATTTCTCCAATTTGTCCAGGTCATTTTGAATTATGACCCTATCCTCCAGATTAGTCACAACCCCTCCCAGCTTGGTATTATCTACAAATTTAGTAAGCGTACTTTCTATACCAATATCTAAATCATTGATGAAGATATTGAACAGAGCCGGTCCCAAAACAGACCCCTGCAGAACCCCACTTGTTATGCCTTTCCAGCAGGATTGTGAACCATTAATAACTACTCTCTGAGTATGGTTATCCAGCCAGTTATGCACCCAACTTATAGTAGCCCGATCTAAGTTGTATTTACCTAGTTTATTGATAAGAATATCATGTGAGACCGTATCAAATGTCTTACTAAAGTCTAAGTATACCACATCCACCACTTCTCCCTTATCCACAAGACTCGTTATCCTACTAAAGAAAGCTCTATCACCTTGCCACTTTCCAAGTGTTTACAGATGTTAAACTAACTGGTCTGTAGTTCCCTGGGTTGTTCTTATTTCCCTTTTTATAGATGGGCACTATATTTGTCCTTTTCCAGTCCTCTGGAATCTCTCCTGTCTCCCATGATTTTCCAAAGATGATAGCTAGAGGCTCAGATACCTCCTCCAGCAGCTCCTTGAGTATTCTAGGATGCATTTCATCAGGCCCTGGTGGCCTTGCTACTGCCACGAGCCTTGCTATGCGCGGGGTTCTCAGTTGCTGGCTTTCCTGCCCTGGGCCTGTCTCGTTCAGGAACTTCCATGGTCCTGCCAGACCATGGATGTTGCTGTGCAAGAGAGTCCAGGTTTTGTGAGGTAATTTGGTGCAAAGAGGGATGGAGTTGGAAATTATCTGGTCTTAAGATATTTTTAGTCAGAGCTAGTCGAAAGTAAAATGAAAGAAACAAAAAAAGGAGGAAAGTCAGTGGTGCTGAAAACAAATAATTATTATTCCCATTTGTATTATAATGATACCCAAATGTCCTCAGAGAGCATCAGGGTCTCAACTGTACAAATACGTATGAAGAGACAGTACTTCCAGAAAAGGTTTACAGTCACAAGTATTATTTTTTGAGATATGACTCACCCTTTTCCTTTCTCTGGCTGTATAATTGTCTAATCCTACACTGTGTCAGAAAAGTAGGCCTGCTGATGGGGGCATTAAAGGAGGCCTCTGCCCCAGTGCCCTGGCAATTCAATAGAGCCAGTAGCTCCCCGCCACTGCTAGTGAGGCAGCATCAGTGGCTAGAGCTTTAGGCCCTTGAAGTAGCTGCTGGAGCCCCATGCAGCGTGCTGAGGGCTACCTGGGATAGGCACAGTCCACTCTAGGCATCTCTTGAGCCTGCCTGGGAAAAGCTAGCCTCAGCCCCTCCCCTTCCAGGGGCATAGAACCACCATCACCCCTTGCCCAGAGGCCCAGCAAATCTGTCAGTCCCACTGCAGAAAAGGTGAGCCCTGTAAGACAGGCCATGTTCCAAAATCCCAAAAAAGGAGAGTGGAGAGATAAGAGAAAACCTAGAATAATTTTTAAAAAGATAAAATTGTCTGAGGGATGAAGATACTTATCTTCCATTGGTATTAATGACCAAATTGTGTCCAAATGCCCTAGACTCAGATGCTCATCTCAAATACAAAGTATAACAGTCAGTCTGTAGCTCTGTGATTATAGCCAAGCTAAAATATCTTTTTAAATGCATGGGGCAGTAGTCTTTCATTCTAGGGCATATATTTTCCCTTTCATATGTGTGTGTATGTCGGCTAAGGTTGGCCGCCATGTTTCGTGATTAAAGCCAAAGCTGAAAAATGTAAGCCTCAGGTCCACCCATGACTGCAATTTCTTTGCATAATGAAACTGTGGCAGCAGTTTTCAACTTTTGTTATTTAGGTTCTATACTCACCAATTCTTCTAATTCTCACATAGAGGTTCTCTGCTGGCTTGGCATCTCTGACTACAACGAATGTGGAATCAATATAATCTTAGCATGGCACCAAGTTTAGGACCTATTTGAGTTTCCTTTGGATGCTCATTATTTTTTGGTCTTTACCAAGACAGTAAGAGCCCAGATACTTCCTTTCCTATACATGAAGATGCATATATGAGATGTATTCACATTTCAAATTGAATTCTTTAAACTCAGTTTTTGGCTGCTCAATAATAATCTTTTTTCTACATCACTCTGGTATATGCATTAGCCTGAAGGTTGTTCCACAACTTTGCCTCTAATTTTTTTTATATCCTGAAGTCTGAATCCTGTAAGAGGAATTCCTCAGTCACCATTCTTTTAATAAATGTTGAATGTTTTTATTCAGGATTTTTCTGGGTCATCTGACAGCATTTTTTTCTGTCTTGCAAGGATAACGAAGTGCCAGGTTTCTTATGATCTGGGCCGGAGTCACTTGGCTTTATATTCAAAATATAATAAAAAACCAACAACAATCCTGCAATTAACAAAGCCTAAATTAAGTTAATTGGAAGCCAGAGTCTACCCTCAGGTACATAGGTAACTTAACTGGGAATTTTTATACATGTATCTGAATTTGGACTATTGTATATCTATCTATTCTACATAAGATTTTTTAAAAATGCCTATCAATTTAACACCTAAGAATCATACTGCAGATGTTAAATTGATCAGGATATGCAAGTGAATAATGAAACAAACAGGTATTGGGAAACAACTAAATAGCCAGTCTCTACACTGAATAAAGCATTTCAAAATGCAAAAGGCAAAATTACTAACAAGACATTTTAATTATTCAG